AGCAGACCAGGCTTTTGTTGTGGACCCTGGGGCAGAGCAGCTGGGGCGCTGCCGGTTGGCCTCTTAAGGGGGGGTAGTCTTATACGGCGAGTATAGGCGAAAACCTATGTTTTAACTAGAAAATTAGGGGGTCGTTTTATACGCCCAGTCGCCTTATACGCCAGAAAATACAGTACCTAAACTGGCATCATAAGAGAAATAACCAATGCCTAAAATCTAACCTAAAAATGGAAAAGTTGGATCTTTTTATAGCCTCCACGCTGCTGGCACTGTTTTCCAGAATGGAAAAGTAAGATCAAGGGACTATGGACTATTTTAACCAAGGATCTGATTAAATCTATCAGACAGTGTCAAGGATTACAATTATCAGGAGGTGCCAAGCTATAAACTCCTGACACTAGGATAGAAGGTAAATCTGGGGGGAACCATCACCAGAGATTAGATTGCCAGGTGCAAAGAATCAGACACTTGAATAGAACATGCAAGAAAAGAGCTCCTTTCTTGTGTGCTAATAATAATTAAAAGTAAATTACATATTAAGTAAATGTAAGTACTTCAGAGACATTAAGCAGCTTAAAGCTAGAGTCAAAGCAAGGAATGTGCATATGCTTAGACTAAGGGATACCAGAACCCTTTGGCTTGATGGATTTACCATTACACTTTATGCTGAGTGCTGAACACTTGCAATTCTTCTTGAGGTCAGTGGCAGCAGTGGGTGCTCAGGATTGTACCTTCGTGCACAGAGGAGGATTCAGTAATCTGTGACGTATTCCACAAAATGTTCATGTATACCCTCCTTGGAGGCAGTCGCTGGACTGGAGCCACGGTTGTCGCTTTAACCTCACAGTCAGACATGTTTTATTAACTATTGCAAAGCACAAAAGGATTTTACACCCTTTTCTGCCTCCCTCATTTCCCCCAAGGCATAATCAAGACAACCGAGACCAACATCTGCCCTCCCCCATTTTTGGACAGAAGTATAGAAGCAGTGACCTGCAAAGCTACGCACTGCACGCAATGGGACAAAAACCAGCAGTTAAACCATTCTCTGAGCAAAGAATCAACTAGAACCAGGAGCGGCTCGAGGCAGGAGCGGCCCATGGAGGTGGGCAACCTCGGCAGTTGCCCATCAAGACAACCGAGACCAACATCTGCCCTCCCCCATTTTTGGACAGAAGTATAGAAGCAGTGACCTGCAAAGCTACGCACTGCACGCAATGGGACAAAAACCAGCAGTTAAACCATTCTCTGAGCAAAGAATCAACTAGAACCAGGAGCGGCTCGAGGCAGGAGCGGCCCATGGAGGTGGGCAACCTCGGCAGTTGCCCAGCGCTCAATGCTGATGTCACGCCATTACCACAAAGATGGAATTTATCCACTTTAACCATACTGCCAGGCAGGAGCGGCTCGAGGTGAGCTGCCGGCAGCTGGCGTTCTAGGCAGAATGCCGTGATCTACTCCCCCGCCTCCATAGCCCTCAATGGTGTTATGTCAGCATTGGGGGCCGCCCTAGGCAACTGCCGAGGTTGCCCACCTCCATGGGCCGCCCCTGCCTATGTTGCATTTTACTCTCATTGTTCAGTCCTTAACTTGCCTTCTAGATGCTGACAATTGTAAGTAGTACAATTCCACTCTTCTTAATCCTTCAAAGCCTGCTGTGCACTGAAAAGGCCTTATTTGCCCACTTAGTCCTGTGGTCAGTTTAGTGGGACTAGTCACACATGTACAGGTTTGTGAGATCCAGCCCTATTATATTTTCTGGGGATTTTTAAACGATAGATTGCAGAACTAATAAGAAAAGATTTTTTTTTTTTTTAAATTGCATTGGATGTGACACCCTAAATAACTAGTTGGAACTTTCTCCCCTCTTCATTACTACAGCATATGGCTGAGCGAAAGATCGCAGTTGTTGGTGCTGGGTTGATTGGCCTGTCTACAGCTGTGTACATTTCAGAATCTATTCCCAAATGCTCTGTGACTGTAATTTCAGAGAGATTTACTCCCAACACAACAAGTGATGTAGCAGCTGGAATGCTTATTCCACACACTTACCCAGGTGAGTGAAACCTCTGCTTAGCTCATAGGTCAGACTTCAGAACAATGTGGACTAAAGCTTTTGTGGTATGACTTTTTTCAGGTTTAAACTTTGTTCTTCCTTTGGATACCAAAGAAATTATTCCACTTAATGTTACTATTGCACTCTGGTTATCTTAGAATATATATCTCTGGTAATTATTTTTTTTGAACAATCATAAATTATGCTGAGGAACCCATTTTCCCCTAGTGTTCTTGTTCCATTTTCAGTCCTAACGTGTTAAGAAATATTTTTAGCTCTTTAAGACTCTACATATTTTGGGTGTATATGAGAGTGAATGAGTGAGAGTAAAAGAGACCAACCCCAGGTCCGCTTGGGTTGCCTATGGGTTGGATAATGCATTATAGTTCACCAAAGAATGACATGTGAAATCTGTACCGAGAATCTGTAGCTCTCCTACACTTCAAATGCTTTAGCCCTATCCCAGAGCCACCTCATCCCCAGCCCCACTCTAGAGCCTACACCACCAACTGGAGCCCTCACCCACTCCTGCACTCAACTCACTGCCCAGATCAATGAAAGTGAATGAGAATGGGGTGACAGTGAGCAACAGAGGTAGGGGGATGGAGTGAGTGGTGGGTGAGGACTCAGAAAGGAACAGAGCAGGGGTGGGGCTTCAGCGCAGGAGAGGGCAGTGGGAGGGGGAAGGGTGTTTAGCTTTGTGCATTTAGAACATTGACGACCCTAATATTGGGGGTACGTCTACACTACAGCGTTATTTCGAAATATCTTATTTTGAAATAGTTAATTCGAAGTAAGTTATTTTGAAATAACGTATCGACACACAAAATGCATTTTGAAATAGAACTTTGCTATTTCTAAATAGCGCATCCACGCTGAGTGGACGCTGAATCGCATTTAAGGCTGGCCGGAATCAGGTCCGGCAGGGCATCAGATCAGGAGTTACTTTGTGTGGCTGCTGCCTGAGGCCTGTGCTTAAAGGGACCTTCCCCCCTCCCTCGGACAGCTGGTTCTCAGGTTTCCCTGCTTGCTTGCCTACCTCGATGTGGGACAGCAAAGCATTTTGTCTCTGCATGCCCTGATTGCCCTTCCTCGGGACACCACAGCACTCTGCAACATGGAGCCAGAGCTGCCACTGGGCACTCTGGTGCTTCTCTTGGACGCACTGCTGCGAGCCTGGCTGCACTTTCTGCAAGCTGCCATCCGAGAGGTCCATCGGGGGCCTGTCAGTATCCAGGAGGCCCTGTGGGAGAGCTTCCACCCTGAGGAGCACTAAGAGCCTCCCTGGTCTGCCCCACTGGGGGCTTGTGCCTCATTCCTCCTTCACGTCCTTCCACTTACCTCTCCCTAACCCCCTTCCTTATGTCAAATAAAATACATATATTTTCATGAACACAAACTCTCTTTATTTAACAAAACTCGGGGGGAGGGAATGAAACTCTGATGACACTGGGGAGAGAAGGTGGGAGAGGGAAGGGGGAAACCTGGGAGGAGGGAGCTGGAAAGAGTAAGCAATGGGAAGAAGGGGGAGGGGAAGCTTAGGCCCCAGGGTTGGGGGGTCTCGCCAGACAAACTTGATTTTCATGCGAACCTGCTCCTGGGTTTGCATGTGGCCTTTGGTGTCCAGGCTGGCAGCTATCCTGCCATAGACGGCCACGTTCCTCTGTCTAGTGCAAAAATCATGGACGTTGGGGGCATCCCTCCCCCCAAACCTGAATAAGGTCCATGATCTCCACCCTGGACCAGGAAGGTGCCCACCTTCTCTGGGCCCTGGCAGGCTCCTGGGAGCTGGCAGACTGCTCCTGGGGAGTGGTGGAGGGCTGGCTACCAGTGGCTTGCTGGCTCATGTTTTGGGGCCACTGGTCAGGGGCAGTGACTGCTGGCTCTGGGCTGGCAGGCTTGGAGCTAGCACAGGCACTGTGGCCAGAGTCAACCCCTTTAAGGGCTCTGGGGAGGAAGGGAGGGAGAGGAGTGTTCTTGGTTGAGGTTGGAGTGGCCACCAGGGCACCCTGGGAAGGCTGGAGGTCCCCTATTTTGATATGTGTCTACACAGCACTTATTTCGAAGTAGCTGTTTCAAATTTGGTGTTATTCCTCATGGAATGAGGTTTACCAAATTCAAAATAAGCACTCTGCTGTTTCGAATTAATTTTGAAATAGCGATTTGGCTGTGTAGATGCTAGTAAAGTTATTTCGAAATAATGGCTGTTATTTTGAAATAACTTTGCTGTGTAGACATACCCTTAGAGAAGAGACTGTGAAAGCTACAAGAGACGACATTCACAAGATGGAATAAACAGCAGAGAGATTTCTTATGGCTAAAGATAAAGGATTGTTAGGGTATACCTGCAAGTCCAAGATAACACACAAGATCCTGCAAGTACAGAGCTTGTCTGTCTTATGAGAGAAGACGCAAGGCCAAGTCTGGCTGTAACATGCTACAGGGATTTGGGGTGAGCAGTATTCTGCAGGACATGAGAGTATTTTGTTAATTAAGTCTATCCTCTAGAATGCGTGTTATGATTTTCTTTTATGACCGTTTATTTCCAATAATTCCATTTGCTACTACTTGAATCTTTGTGCTTTGTTAAATACATGTGAACTTATTGTACTGAACCCTTATCTGGGCTGCGTGTGAAGTGCTGTGAGTTGCATGGAATGGTGGTCTGAGGTAGAACTGGTAAGCTGAGGTGTGCCGATTGTTTACAAGCAGCAAATTTCTGAATATCATGAGTGTCTAGAGGAGCAGGGGCAAGATCTTCCAGAGGGATACTCAGAGGACTGAATTGTGCCTAGCACTAGCCTGTAGAGAAACAGCAGGGCCTGAGAGGCCTAGAAGGAAATGCTTGAATTGCCTGTGGCCAGTGGAGCTGGGGAGCTGATCCCTGGCAGGCACAGATAAGGTTTCCTCACACGAAGGACGGGTGAGAGCAAGGCGACTCACCCTTGGGTACCCCCTAGAAGTGTCACAGTGTGCAGACATTATTGTTAATGAAAGTATCTCTTTTTGAGAGTATCAATATAATTACAGAGAAAACACTGGCCTGCATTGGGGAAGGGTTTACAAGGGAACTGATGAGAGAAAATACTAAATTAAAGGCTCCTCCAGAAACTTTAACTTGATTGGCATATCTGGTATGTTTTATAATATACATTTTATGACATGAACAGTAATATATTGATCTATGCACGTAACCATCAATAAAAGATCCTGCCTATTGGAAGGAGGCTGAGTTCATGTTGTTTTAGGAAATAACTTTTTCATTTCCTTACCTATAAAATGTAATTTTACAATGTCCATCCTCAGACCCTGAGGACTTCAGCAGGGCAGGATCCCAGTGCAGGACTGGAACCTTAATGTTGCAGTAGGGTATATTGTCCACTAATATATAGTTCAATCAACAGGCTATGCATTGATATTTTAGGACATAGTTCAATCTTATGATATGTAATGAGAACATTAAGTAGGTAAATACTAATACTGCAAGCTGCTGAGTGCTGTCATCTTCCTTTGAAGACTAAACTTCTTGGGAGTTGAAGGTAATTAGCACCTTATAGGAGGCATGAATTACTATACAGCACTGGACTCAATGAATACCTAAATACAGGTTTAATTTGCATGTATACTTTTACTGGTCATGTACAAAATTTTATCAATGTAGAAAATTTACTATTCCTTTTTTTCTCTGATGCCTGCCTTTCTCAGCTGATGTTGCCTTGGGAGGCTTTTCCTGATGTAACTTCTCCCTCCATTTTATCTTTTTGCTTTATTTCATGTGTACAGGCACACCAGTTCACCAGCAAAAGCAGTGGTTTAGGGAGACTTTTGACTATCTTTTTGAAATCAGTAATTCATCTGAGGCTTCAGATGCTGGCATTCATCTGGTGTCTGGGTAAGAAAGAAACTCAAAATAGACTTTTAATATTTGTATGCTATAAACTGTAGTAAGCAGGGTGACACTCCATCTAGTATTTAAGGAACATTCCTTCTCTGGAGTGTCTCTTGTGACCCATATTCAAAAGGAGTATTAAGAAGCATTTGATCACTTGATGCAAGTTTTCAAGCAAAAATCATTCAAATAAAACACTATAGGCTGGTGTCTCTTAAATATAAGTTGCAGCCCATATTTTTCCTACATTCATCGTTGTTTAATTACTTGAAATGTAGGTGGTCACCCTAGTAATGGGAGATGGGACATTGTAGAGTCCTTCAAGTATGGTAACGGAATATAAAACACAGTATGTTTGCTGCCCACTATAAGCAAAGATTTGCCTTCTCAGTGAGTGAAGGGGAAGCAGTTTGTGGCTTGCCAGTACCTGGAACAAAGAGTGATCAGGATTATACATGACAGTACATGCAGATGCAGCCAAGAAGCTTGCAGCCTTTAGAAAGAGAGCCTGTGTGAGGCCTGGTCTACGCTAGAGAATGAGATTAATGTAAGGCAGCTTACGCTGACCAAATTGTATCAGTGTCTACACTACAGCCTTGTCCCTGTCACTGTAAATGCCCTACTATACTGACATAACTCCACCTCCACAAGGGGCATAGGGCTTAGTCAGTGCAGTTAAAGTGATGTTGTGCCTGTGTGGACACTGCAGGTTACCTAGGCTGTTGTACTTGTCAGTTTCACAGTTCTATACTGGAGTTGTGAAACTGACAAGAAAATCAGGCTCAGAGCTTGGGCTCTCACATGTAGGAGGTTCCAGCTAGAGTCCAGCTGCCTCTGGGTTCCTCTCTTTGAGCAGGCTGCTGCCCAGACTCCCCACTGTTCCCAGGAACTGCTCAGGCTCCCAGCAGGGAGAAGGAAGCTGGAAGCCTGGGGTGGAGCTTGGGCTTTCAGCTTCCCTCCCCCAAGTTGGTAGAAACACTCCTGGTGAGGACATCACCAACAGAAGGAGGGGAGTGTGGACCCAGAGTAATTACCATGCTGGTTGTAAGTTGACCTAACATAGATCAGCTGAAGTGTGTAGTGTAGACATAATAACTACTCAACAGAGGTGAAGTTAGTAGTTTCCTAGCATCTAGGAGTGTTGTATAGAAAGCTGGGTAAAAGTGGGCTTTGAAGGTGGGGAGAGAAAAGCTGTAGCTGTTAAATGGGGTAGGAATTCCAGAGCTTAAACTCCAAATGGGAGCAAGTACCGTACCCTGCCTGTAGATGGGCCCAAGCAGTGGTACTGTGATGCAGATCTGGATTTGAGCCCATTTGTTAACTTGTGAAATTTAGTTACTGAATTCATGGGGATTAAACTAAAGTCTCTGCACCAAGATTCTAGGCTGGAGAGTAAATGGAGCACAGAACGTTTTAATGGCCCGTGTTGTCATTGTCCAGCACTTTTTCTAAATGAGAACAGTGAAAACAAGAGGACCTAGGATACACTGGGCTGCTATTTCCCCATTCCTCTAATCACTGCATTAAATGTATTTAACCCTGTGTTATTCTGTTATTTTGTACCCCAGTTAGTGTTTTTTATTTGCTTCATTACCCCAACCCTCACTCGACTTTATCTGCCATCACCCTGGGGTTCAAGTCCTCCTGAGACTCCCTTAAACTTTATGGCCAATTAAATAATTGTCATCTTTGAGGTTTTTTATTTTGTTACCGTCCATCTGTCTAAACTCTTGAAGTCCTTTCTGAGCAATGGAAGATGATTTCTAATATTTTTAAACTATGATCAAAATGAATTGTGTTACATCAGCACAAGTATGTTTAAGTCTGGCCTCTTCTCTTCCGTATCCTTTAGCTGGCAGATCTTTAAAACCATCCCTGATGAAGAGTTACCATTTTGGTCTGATGTTGTCCTGGGATTTCGTTCAATGACTAAAGAGGAGTTGAAGAAATTTCCACAGCACAAATTTGGTCAGGCCTTTACTACGCTGAAATGTGACTGCCCATCCTATCTGGTGTGGTTGGAGAAAAGGTTTGTTATAATGGATATGGCTGATATTTTCTGAAAGGAAAGGGTTGGAAATTTGCCTTTGATTGAATGAATTTAAAAATCTTTCCTTCCTTCCTGGGAGAAAGGGAGCCTGATCTGTAAATTATTATTGGGTTACACACACAACCTCTTTTCCAAGAATTTAAAGACAAAGAGAAAGAGTTTTATTTAATCTAAGTCTGTTTTTCATAAATCTGGTAGTGTCCAGATGTCTTACTGTGGGAGAATGTTGTATTTGCCATTTTAACACCCATGGGATGAGTGGCATGAAGTGGCTTTAATGTAAATGAGAATCAAGACCTACATTTCCAAACTCTTCCAAAACTATCTGGATCTCTGCTGGGTTGGTGCACAAGGAAACAAAGTGCACAAAGCCTCCCCTTCTTGTATCTGCATCCAGTGACAGGGTCATTTCAGTCCTGAATGCAAGGACACCTCTAGGTGATCATACTAAGACAAACAGGCCTCCCCAAATGGGCATGGAACCATGGTGCTCTTCCTACTTTAATGAACAGACCTGACTAAGGACACCAGGGAGCCTACATAATAATATACCTTAAACCAGGCTGGCTCAGGTACTGCAGGTGCAGTCCGCTTGCAGATAATTATAGATGATACATTCTGGAGCTCCTGAAGAAAACCTTGCAGAAATGTTTGAATGTACAAAGTGCTTGACATAAATGAAGGCTTTAAATTTCATGCCTATGCAGAAAAAAGTCTTATAGTTTTTTTTTCTTTCTGAAGACCAGTTCTCCTCAAACTGCATCAATTTCAAAGAATTTTAGCAGTCAGAAACCAAATCTTACAATTTGTTTGTATAATCCCTTTCAGCGTACTTAAAAAGAGCAAATAATGTTTTTCCTGTCACAGGCATGGTGACTGGAAACAAGGTGATTTGATGTTAGGTAGTAAAAGATGTATCTACATCTTGGAACAAATTTCCAGATAATTGGCTTGTTTGATTATGTTCCCTGCCATTGCACTGTATAAAATAATGTTTCTTGTTTCTGGAGCAAGCATAAGTGGGAGTACAGTACTCTTATGTTGCCAATGCTATCTGACTTCTGTACTATCTCACAGAAACACAAGTCTTGTCATGTTTCATTGCTTAACTGATACTGAAAATTGTACTGAGGAACAACTAAATTGCTGAATCCATTTAGTAACTGTCAGGCTGCATCACTGCAAAGGCTTCTGCTACTTCCTTATTCTGGTTTCAGACTCTTCTCATTTCCCAAAGGATGTAGTCTAATAAGACAATCAAGGATTTTTCCTGTCTGTGAGTACTAAGAAAGAGACCATAGTAAATAGATAACTATTTTTCAGACTCAAATGAAATCTGAACAATATTGTGGTACCTGGTGTTGGCAGCACAAAAGCATTTATCTACTTCTTTCTAGGTTAGCTTTAATGTCACAGTTCAAAAGCTTTCTCCCACTACCTTATCTGAATTTTGTAGAATGTTTAGGAGTTTCTGCACGAACATGTTTTTGCAAAAAAGATGACAAGCTCAAATGCTACAGGGGAAAGACCACAATAGAAAATGAATCTGTACCTATTAGACAGATTAGGAGCTGGTCCTGCAGGGAGATCCATACATTTAAGTAATACTCAAAGTAAGTTTAGGTTGAGATTTAAGCTTGAGATTTAAGCTAACAATAAATGCAAACACCAAGAAGAGGATAAGGTTTTTTTGTTTTTAAGAGAGATTCATGTAAATGCCTAATGTGCAGTCTAACATATCTGATTTTACTTTAAAAATAGCAAATAGTCCTGTAGCACCTTAGGCTGTCAACACTGCACGCTTATTTTGAAATAGCAGCGCGCATCTACATAGCAAGCCTGTTATTTCAAAATAATTTTGATATAATGAGCGTCTTACTCTGACTTCTGTAACCCTCATTTCATGAGGAATAAGAGAAGTCAAAGGAAAAGTGTTCTTCTGCTATGTAAACAGCGCCAAAAGTCAAGTTAAGGTACTTTAACTTCAGCTACATAATTAACATAGCTGAAGTTGTGTATCTTAACTCAACTGTAGCACACCGTGTAGACCAGTGTTTCTTAAACTTTTTAAGACTGAAGAATACCAAACAATAATTTTTTTTATGGAGAACACCAAAGATTTTTTTGTTGTTGAGCAACCCAAAAAAAAAAATAATAAAAAAACACAACACTAGCTTCCAGGGAAAATTTGTTAAGCAAGACCTGGGGGTCGAAATACGCCACAATCTCCCCAGGAAGACTGCCCTAATAACAGTTTGGTACATGGAGCTGAAAACGTAGACCGTAAAAAAGTAAGGATAATAATAAACAAATGTTAAATAAGGTCATGTGTCTAGCCAGGAGGGAGGGTAGATGAGGGGTCTTGTGGCAGGGTTTCTGGCCAGGAGGGAGGGTAGAGGAGGGTCTCGGGGCAGGGTGTCTGCCCAAGAGGGAGGGTGCAGGAGGAGACTTGGGGCAGGGTATCTAGCCAGGAGGAAAGGTAGAGGATGGGTCTTGGGGCAGAATGTCTGGCCAGGAGTGGGTATTGGGGCAGAGTGTTTGGCCAGGAGGGAAGGTATAACAGGGGACTTGGGGCAGTGTGTCAGAACAAGCTGGAAATGCAGGGTCTTGGCAGGGGGAGGGAAGTGAGTGGGGCTTGGGTGTGGGGTCTGGGCATGAGGGGGGACATTTACCTGGCTTGGCACCCTGATGCAGCAGGGAAAGCCTCCAGGGAGCATGCTCAGAAGAGCTCAGTTTCCCTCCCCACTAGCCCATGCAACGGGGAACCCAGCGCAGCTGCAGCACCAGGCCAGGCTTCCCGCTGGCAGAGCCGGGGGGGGGGGGAGAGTAGAAACCCCGACCATCCCAGACAGATTAAACTTCTATGATGTAAACGTGCATCCTTAGGCTGCATGAACTTCTCAGTTTTGGAATCATCGTAAGAATGAATTCATGGGCTCATCTGTTTTGGGTTTGGGTTTTTTTTTGGCCACAGCATCTCTGTAATATTTATACATCTGATATATTTTGCCCTGGCCAATTTTATAAACAAAAAACCTTTGTCTGCAGTGTCTTAATTGCAACAGACAACTCATAAACAAAAGCCCTGTGTAATCTTTCTCTAAGTTTTCTTCAACCTGTAATTGTCTATCCTTCTGTTGTTAAAGATTCTCTTTCTTACTTAATTTGCATAAAATAATCCAGGAGATTTATTAATAGTTCATTGTCATGCTTTACTGCCAATGTCTCTTTTTAGGTTGAAAGAAAATGGCAGCCAGGTGTATGCAAGACGAGTAGAAGATCTGTGGGAACTGCATAACAAATATGACATCATTGTCAATTGTTCAGGCATTGGATCCAGAGAACTCATGGGTGACTTGGAAATATATCCTGTGAGAGGTCAAGTACTCAAGGTTCATGCTCCTTGGGTGAAACACTTCATCCGGGATGGGGACGGATTAACCTACATTTATCCGGGAATACACAATGTAACATTAGGTGGGACAAGGCAAAAGGACAACTGGAGCTTATCCCCAGATCCTAGCAGTAGCAAAGACATATTTGACAGATGTTGTGTTCTTGAACCCTCACTTCAAAGAGCCCAGAATGTGATGGTGAGGGTGGGTCTGAGGCCATCCAGGTTAGCTGTGAGACTGCAAAAAGAGATGCTGGTCCATGGTGGGAAAAAATTGCCTGTGGTTCACAACTATGGACATGGTTCGGGTGGTTTTTCAGTGCACAGGGGCACTGCCAAAGAGGCTGCTCGACTGGTGGGAGAATGTATTGCTGCTCTGGAAGGCTCCTCTTCAAAGGCAAAGTTATAATCATTAGGACGCCTTTTCAGTTAGTGATAGGCTATATTTCCCTCACTAATACCTTTGGAGAGTGCTACCCCTCCCAGATCCCAAGCTGCACCAAAGGAAAATTCAAAGGCTCTTCTCTCTTTTGGAAGAAAAACCTGACTAGGAGGGCTATTGATGAACCCAGAAAACTGAGAATTATCTTCTTAGGTGTCTCAGAACCTGCATGAGGCATAAGAATAAGCAAGAATTTCCCTCACCAAACCCATAACTAGTGTTGGGCTGAGCCTTCCCTGACTTAGTATGGGTGATAGGCAATGGGTATACTATCTACTCATCTGCAGAATGGTTTGCCACTGCTATTTGATGTACCTCTTTCATCTTGCCTATGTCCAAATACAGGCCATTTGTTAACTTTTCTAATCTCTGCATAAATTCTTTCGCTCAAGTCTTTCTCCTGCCTGTCTGAAATCCTTGTGAATGCTACTTAGGTGTTAGCACAGACCTACTTCTGCATATAACTTGAAGCAATTTATCATTATGCCTCTCTAGATGCAAGTGAAAAGGATCATAGAAATATAGGCCTGGGAGGGACTTTAGCAGCCCATCTATCCCTGTCCCGAGGCAGGACTAAATATTAGCCTTGAATATGTCCATCTGATCCATATTTTCTAATCTATTTCAAATATAAATGCATGGCAGATGGTGCCAAATCTTTCACATTTATAATGCTCTTCAAAGGCGTAGTTATGGACTTAAAAGGAACAATTATATTTGAGATATTTTTATCAATCTTTATAATTACAGGCAGCAGATGACCTATATGTTTGCTTTTATAACCCAAGCACAAAGCAATCATTTTGTACACCTGGGATTTTTTATTTACCAAAACACAAGCAATAAAGATATATTGTCTCACTGTAATCTCATGCCTGCAGTTTCGCTAATGTGTTACAATGCTGACTAGTCTATGGAAATTAGCTTTCAACCATGCAATATATTTCACTTGAACACAACTGAATATGGAATAAACAAAGTCAAAAATAGAATTAATATAATAAATAAAGATATTACTGTGACCTATTTGTTTTGGGAAGATTTGACATGGGATATAACATTTGTCTACCATGAGTGATACCTCAGTTAAACTCTAGCGCTTTTGCACTGGCACATTTCTTATTTTCCACCAGAGGGAGCTGTTGGATCAATCAGGTATTGAAAACCATGAACTGCACAAGAAAAACATGTGGAACTGATTGATAAGCATAGCTGAAAATGTGGGCAGTTTTCTGTGCTATAGGGCTCCTACATGCCTGAAAAAGCACAGATGGTTTGGAGGGGTTGAGTGATGTAGATAAGTTTCAGAAATGACAACATTCAGCTATTGCTGTACCAAGTTCTGGAAACATCTTTAAACTTTTTGAAAAAAATGTAACTGTGAGAGGAGAGAGATATAAAAATGTAACTATAGGGTCACACATAGCTGTACTGTCCTAGGAGGAAATGAGGAAGAAATTGTGTCTTGGAGAAAAATATTCCTCCTTTACTTCCCCACTTGCTCCTGTTGTGGGAGAGTACTCTGGGGCAGATCATTATGGAATACAGCTCTCCCAATAGGGCCCACTAGTGATTTAACTCTCCTGATTGAAGGGCTCAGCATCTACTCTGTCCATTAATTTATACAGAAGTGTAATGACCCCACAGATTCTATTCTTTCCCCCACGCAGTCTGCAGGTGGTGTGGGGATTTATGACTCTAATTCCCATAATTCCGTGGTCCCCAACACGGTGCCCGTGGGCGCCATGGCGCCCGTGGGGGCATTTCCATGCGCCCGCCAGGTGCTCGGGGCTGGCCTGGCACCGGGCGCATGGCGGGGGGAGCGCCGGGCGCGCGGCGCTGGGCAGGGGGAGCGCCGGGCGCGCGGCGCTGGGCAGGGGGAGCGCCGGGCGCGCGGCGCTGGGCAGGGGGAGCGCCGGGCGCGCGGCGCTGGGCAGGGGGAGCGCCGGGCGCGCGGCGCTGGGCAGGGGGAGCGCCGGGCGCGCGGCGCTGGGCAGGGGGAGCGCCGGGCGCGCGGCGCTGGGCAGGGGGAGCAACTCCAGCTATGTAAAATTTGTAACAAGTTGGCTTACCCTAACCTGAGCTTGGCACCATCTTCACAGAGGGAGGCTGAAGGCAAGCAAAAGCTCCTGTCAGCTTCCCTTACTCCTTGGCTGTGTCCAGACTCAGGGTTTTTTTTGAAAAAAGTAGCCTTTTTTCAAAAAAACTTCACCTGCATCTAGACTGCAGCCGTGTTCTTTCGAAATTAAATCGAAAGAACGCAGCTTTTCTTTTGACGGCGGTAAACCTCATTGCACGAGGAAGAACACCTTTTTTGACGGAGATCCGTCAAAAATAAGTGAGTGTGGACGTGGGGAGGTCATTTTTTCGAAAATAATGGCCTCCAGGAAGAAGCCCTGGTGGACAATCTGGGGCATGGCTTGCATGTCTCTGGTTTCTGTCTGCAGCCATTTCTTAAAGGGACAGGCACCCTCACAGCCACTTGTGGCAGGGAAGAAAGCCGAACACACG